GCGACCTTGCAACAGATCTGGCGCTTTCGGGAAAAGAAATTCTCTTTGTTCTATGAAAGTTTTTTTTTTTCTAATTCGATTCTAGAAACAAAAGTTCCTTCCGCGATCCGTCATTTAAATTCGAACAAAATTCGTGACAAAAACTTTTTTCTACCGACATAATTACTCACCGCTCGTATTTATTTTTCGCTAGAAATAATTTTTAAAATGTTATAATCGAATGAATTGCCGAAAGTTTAATTACTACAAAAAATAATTATAAAATTGTTCGACTTTCTTACAAATTTATCAGAATTTACCGAAGCAAATTTATAATTTCCATAAAACTTGTAACGATCATTTTGACTTAGGGAGCCAATAGTATCAAAAAAATACAAAACAAAGAAAAGTTACAAGGGAACAAGCAGTTTAACGAATTTTGTACATCTGTTTGCAATAATATAACTGTTATAAACCACATACGTGACAAGGTTTACAAATAATTTCATGCAAATATAATGCTTGTACCTCAGGGATAGAAAAAAAGGCAGGATTTCTGCTTTTTTACAATATTGTTCGGCTCTAATCGCAAGGCAGAATTATCTATTTCCACTTTAGACTTACGAATATAAAATTGGTTTTATGAAAATGAGCGAGGAAAATTATACAGAAAATGTATACTGTATTTACCTACTTTATTTTCTAGCTCTGAAATAGAGATATACTCGGTTACATTACAGAATATTTATATTCTTACGTATTATATATATATATACCTATATTGTAATACCGATTAGAAAATATGAATTTACATTTAAATAACTGAATTGTATTTCTTAGAAAAACAAAAACATGTTTGTAATTTGTTCCTCTAGTTTCCTAAATCACCCTAAATTAGTTCATTTCGTAAACGGAAAATAAGATAAATTTCTGTCGGTGCGTTTACCTGATGTCATTAAACGCCTCTCTGTTACGGTCCTCGATGACAGATAAAAATTAAGAGGAGGAATTCATTATACCCGGAAAATCGACCGCTGCTGATACTAGTGAGAGCTTTACAAAGTTAAAAAAAAAATTAAATAAAGAACTTATTTTCCGAATTTATAATTAGTAAGATTAAATTTTGTTCCCATTCGAGATTTTTTTTTTAAACTAAATTCTTCGATTTTTCGACGTTAACCGAGTAAAATTGAAAGAAAATAGGCTATTAAACCACGATTTAAAAAAAAAAATGTTTTTATTTTAAATTTGGCAGTTTTTATGTTTCAAATTTACAGTAGCGTATCGTAGATACGGCAAATCCCGTACAAAAGTTATCTGATTTATGGTATATTGTTTATTATATTTTGATTTCGGAAAGGAAGGGTCGAGTCGACTTTCCGTCGGTGGACACCACGCACCGCGGAAAGAAACAAAGCAAACGTTGTTTAGACCCGCTCTATCGACTCTTAATTGTTTTCGTCGTATCTCTCTCCCGTTATTAGACACGCAGCAAAATCGACCGGTGCAAAAATAAAACTGGCAACAAACACTATTTTTAGGAGGTGGATACACGGTCGAGCGACCCACCGGGGTCAGAATTTTTGCTTCACCTCCCCCATAAGACTTAACCCAACGATACCTCTTACTTCATACATCGATGCCCGTCGACATTTTTTTTTAAATTACCGACGATAAAATTCGATTTGAGTTTTAAATCATTTTTTTCTCTCCCTTCGTTCTCTTCATAATGTCTGATACGAGTTAAAATTAATTTTTTCACTGTTAGAGAAAATTGACGCTTAGTGTTAGATATTTAGGTTTCTTTTTTCGCCATCCATTAGCTTAAACGACCGGTAATGATTCTGGTCGATCTATAAGCGTGTTATTTTTTTTTAAATTTTAAAAGACTATTTTCAGAGAAAAGCGAGAAATAACTAAAAATGCCAATAAAAACTGCTTTTTATAAAGTCTAAAACAGTTTTGTTCCGCTTTTCTTCCGTCTTTACGCAATTTTATAGACATTAAATAATAATTCAGGAACATATTTCTCACGTTAGACACGCACGCGTTTATTAACACAAATTTATGAAACGAATAAATTAACGCGACAAGAATTTTCGAACATAAAGGAGAAAAACGATGGACAGATCGGAGTAAACAATCGGCTTTTAAAATTCGAAGCATTGAAGGAAAGAAACGAGGAGGGGGAAGAAAATGTAGACCGTGAGAGGGCGAGAAAAGTACCGAAAACACGAAAGAAAAAATGATGTTTTTCGTGTTTAAGTGCCGCATCCCGCTAGTATTCTTTCAGTTGTTTGGCACCTATCGTTCCGTGACCGCGTTCACGTGACCTCCTTTTCGCACCGATGGTCATTTTCTCGAAACGCAACTCCCGCCCGCATTTTCGTGTTTATTTTAAATCGCGTTACCTATTTATAAATTTTTAAAAAGACGATTATTTTTTAACCTCACGCCAACGATTAACTCTTTCCGAACTCATTTAAATAAAGTTTAACCCGGTAAACTTTTTTTTTTTATTGTTTCCATATAATCGAGTGGCGATTTACCTCCGTTTTTCGAACCCGTTTAAAGCGCCTTAGCGTTATTCCGCGGAGATTTAAAAACGAAACAGATTTTAAAAAGAAAAAAAATCGAAACCGGTTGTCGGAAACTCGATTTACAACGGTTCGTTAGTCAGTCAGAACGGAGGAAACATTGGGGAAGAGCGGCACGATTATGAGAAGTCGTCAGACCACTACGCGCGAATCGACGGACGAACGACGTTGCACGTGTCGCCTGCAACCTCCACAATGCGCGTACGCCAAGTATCATCGGGCGCAACAGCATGATAACTGTACAGAGGAGGGAAATATGACGGCGAAACAGGAGTACGCGCTGCCGGACGTGGATTATCAACTGGAATACAAAATACCGAGGATCAAACTAGAAAACGGTTCCTACAAGGAGAGAAAAGTGGATAAAGATAAAGACGAAAGTGAGATCTGGATTAAAGATAATCAGAAGACGAAAAAGGAGGAGGAAGTGTGTAGGAAATGTCAGCATCCCGTCTACGCTACAGAAAGGATAGAATTAAATCAGCAGGCGGTATACCACGATCGATGTTTTAGGTGCGGAGAGTGCGGTGTCAAGTTGACTCTTAGCAATTTTTGTACCGACCTTCGCTTGAAGGAAGACGTGTATTGTCGATCTCACAGACCTTTAGTGACGGGACGAGTCGATGCCACCTCGATGCACATCGATGTGGCCAAGAGGACGCCCAAATTAGAAATGATCAATGCACAGATTCGAGGACCGGCCGCTGGAACGGTAAGCTTTGTCCAACATACTTTACTTGTAATAAAACAATTTCGCAAGAAATCGTACGCAAAATGATAATATAAAGAAAACTTCGCTTCGTTCCAAAAATTTCTCTCCTAATTGTGCTTTTCAATCTTAAATACTCGGTTAATATCGATTATCGGAGTTTAACCGGGTGGAAAGTTATTTAATTTAGTACGAAGCCGCGAGCGGTAAAATAATTTTCTTAAAATATTATAATTGTCCAGTAATTTTTTTATTGAAATTTTTTTGTAATCGCGGTAATACATCTGTCATTTTGTCGTAGCTTTATTTTTCAAAGAAAAAAGAAACTATGACGATAATGGATACAATTGTCTGGAAGCTTAACTGCTATTATTTCTATTATATGTAGCATTTACAAAAACATTTCATCTAATGTTTAGATACAACGATCACTTCATATTAATGTAAAATCAAAGCTTTTAATCCATTTCTCAGATGTAATTTATTATATATATTATTGGAGAATTTTATACTTAAAACGTCATTAATGTCTAATATAATGGATTTAGGGCTTTGAATCCATAAGCTTCTGCAAGCTAGTTGGATTTATCACTTACAATATCCAAACTTTAATTGAACTAGATTATTTCAATTAAATTAAAATTTTTTGTATACCACATATGCCTTCCACTATAGCCAGGGTTATTTGCCATACACTCTGCTTTGTTTTATAGATACATCATTTACCTTTTGGTTATATGACTTTTTATATAACCAGAAATTTTACAATAATAAATCTAAAGAATAATTTTTTTATTTCAAGTAACCAAATCAATCTCTTCATTTTTTTACAAGTAATTGCTCATTAACTTCTTTCTAGTACCAATTTTAAATGTTAAAGAAATTATAAATAAACTGTAAATCCTCTACTGAGTTTACAACTACAGCAATGCATATGATCTTACTTGTTAGTAATAATTTGTCACCACCAGTGGAGGATCCAGAAAATGCTCAAGGGGTGTATCTGCCTTTCTTCCTATCTAGTTTAATTATTTTTAATAATTACATAGTATTTATATTTTTAGGTTATATTAAATAAATAATACTGATAAATTGTGTCATAAACATTTTATTGTTTAACCATTAAAATTTACAGGCCTAAAAGAAATTAATATTGTTGTACAGGCCTAACTAATAATTTACAGATAAAGAAGTAAGATAAAGAGAAACTTGTATATTTTAGTAAATTTTTACATTCTTATAACCACACACTGCAATGAACATTTTTACTTCAAAAAAAATTGTATTTTAATGCAAAACTACAGAAAAAAAATTTTATTAAATAATTTTTGTAAACAGAAGTACTCAAGGATGGCAATCACCTCATTGCCCCTCATGGATCTGTCACTGGTTGCCAATGATATTTATTTTTAAAATTCTTTCAAATATTACATCAAAATTGTATAGTTATATTATATTTTAGTAAATAATAATTCATATAAAAATTAAAAATAAACAAGAGCATATTTTTGTAATTAGATATTTAAATAAGAATGTTTGCCTTTATTTCATTTAACACTGAAAAAAACATTAAAAAGATATTACTTATTACATAAAAATATTATTATTATAATTTTTGATAATTTAATATACAGTAATATTGATGGAAACATATATATGTTGTTCCATCAAAATTATTACAAATGTTTGCTTTTTAATATCTTCTTATATTACAGAAAGGTGATATTTGTTATTTAGTTGAAAAAATATGGAAGAATCAGAGTCCCATCAGTGGTAATACCAATTTAGATGATCTTGTGTTAACAAGATGGAACAGAGATAAGGAATGGATGCCATGGAATAGCATTTTACTAACGGAAGATGAAGCTGAGGCTCATGATAAAATAGAGAATATTTCTGATGTATGTTAATTATTATGTATTTAATAATACAATAATAAATAATTTGAAAATAGTATTATATTAATATATAAATGTACATTTTTTGTACAGATATATGCTCCGGCATTTTTTAAAAATGTTGAAAGAAAACAGTTGTTAGCTTCTGTACATTTTTCTTCTTTGCCTCATCTTCTTCCTTACATAGAAACTTGTCTTGTGCATAAACTTCCCAAATTGCCACAATTACAAAGACAGTTTATCAAAGTTAAATCTGATAAGCTGTCTAAAGAACATTCCCATTCTGCTATGATCAACAATGAATACAACTATAGTGAATTGGAAACAAAAGAAATAGAACTTCAGAAAGAACAAGAAGGTGAAATATTTGAGTAAAGAAAATATTTAAAAGGATGATTTGAATAAAATAAATAATTGTTTATTATTTAATAAAATTNGCATTTACAAAAACATTTCATCTAATGTTTAGATACAACGATCACTTCATATTAATGTAAAATCAAAGCTTTTAATCCATTTCTCAGATGTAATTTATTATATATATTATTGGAGAATTTTATACTTAAAACGTCATGAATGTCTAATATAATGGATAATGTTTATCTTATCTTTTATTTGAGTAATATGAAATAATTTCATTTTTAATCAAATTTTTAACCTTAAAGATTTAATGCAAAATGTGTTAAATCATATTGAAAAAATGTTATTAAAATATTTCACTATTCACATTCAAATGTTGCATTGATTAATACATTTGTTTAACAAAGAAAGTAATAGAAAATTACTATCACTCCTTCTAGAAAGAGTTATTATTTAGTGCAAAAGCAAAAGAAGTCATTCAAAATTCAAAAGTGTATTAGTCAACAGAGAAAATTTGTCTTTTTTTTTACAGAAGTTTTTTTAATATCAGTTAATTGATACTAAAAAAGTCCTGTAAAATAATACTAAACCTGATCCATAGAAGATAACTTCACTAAGATATAAAGAGAAAATTTGATTTTATATTTCCTTATCCAACTCAGATTTTTTAATTAAAAAATTATAATAATAAAGATATATTTAATATTTTAAAAATTTATTAAGTTTATGATACCGACTGCATTTCATGAATCAGTATCTGTAAATTACTGTAGAAAACAATTTGTTTGGTATCATTTAAACCAGGGATGGACAACCTTTTACTAAGTAAGGACCACTTTTAAAACTTTTGAACTGACATAAGTGGCACACAAGAGAATAAAAAAATAACATGCAGCTAAATCACAATTCGTATATGATTATAAATTAACATAAGTATACTTAATTTGACTTCTGGATCTGATGTGAACATAACATATTTGGAATATTTGGTTGAATATTAGTCCCTGCTAATTTTAAATTAGTTCTGATATGACTGTTAGCTGATTTCTTGTTTACTTTTTATTAAATTCATTGCAGAAAACTCTGTTCACATACATAAGTTGTAGAAAATGATAGAATTTTTGCAGCATGCTTCCTTAAGATGGAAAATTGATATACATTTACTAATATTTTGTGTGATATGGGCCACACAAAATATTAATGCGGGTCGTGAGTTGTCCACCCATTTTAGACTTACAAAATTTGTTTAAAGTAAGCTCCAACTACATAAAATATAACTATGTTTTTATTTTACAGGGAGCCAAATATGATGCAAATGCTCTTTGTATTCAGTCTGCCCTGAAGTCACCGAAAGTGTGGGAGAGACCTTCATCCTGTTTTCAAACTGCACATATTGCAAATGATGTGATCAAAGGAGATGTCATTGGTCTGAAATACATGTGATGACACGAAATTTTAATACTTTTGTACAAAAAGTCTCAATGTTGGATCAATTCTCATTATTACAGAAATGCCATTATGGACAAACTGATATTTGTTGAAAACTACAACAGATATTCTTTGAGTTAATTTTCCATATGAACCATTTACATCATGGTTTAAATTTAAAAACTAGAATTAAAGAGTTTCCTAGTTGTTATATATATAATAATAATTCTATTACATAAATGAATCTAGACAGTATATTTTCATAAAAGTATTTTAAAAAGAACAGTGAAAAGACAGAAATCTTTTAATCACAGTATTCAAAATAATATGAATTATTTTTGTTTTAAGATGTTGACCTAAAGGTTTTATGGTTTTGTACATTATAAATATTGAAGGATTTCTATTTATTTCTGGAATCTTTAGAAGAAACTTGGATAATGAAATTTAATTGTTCTTGACAGAGTCATGGCCAACAACAAATGAGCTTAAACAATATGCAAACTTGATTTATTTTCATATTTAATCTTATTTATTCTTTCAAAATTAGCACGTAAGCAACCAGTTTTGCACTTGTGTTTTCATAGTATTTTTTGTAAAAAACAAAAAAGTATTTACTGCATGCTATATAAACTATAATTTCAAATACAATCAAAATTTATCATATAAAATACTCTGAAGTAAACCTGTAGCTTCTGTTCCTACTGTCTATAGTTTTTATGTCAGTTATACCTTATTGATTTAAAATTTTCTAATAATGTGCAAATTATTATTTCTATTAAAGAACAATGTGTCAAAGAAATATGAGTATATATATCATTTATTGTACAAAAAAGAACTATTCAAACTGAAAATTTTTTTTATAATTTTCTATTAAATATTTGACAAATAAATTTAAAAATCAAAGCCATTTTTTGTAATTTTATGAATAATTAAAATCAAGTTAATATTATCCACTTTAATATTATGTTTTATGTATATTAGTTAGTTTAAAAACTTGTTAATTTTATCATTTATATGAAATAGAAAACAACTCAGAAATAATCACAGGAAGTTTACTGTCACATCATTCAATTTACTTATTAGTCAGACAAATAAAGAAAAATAGGAAATACTGGAAAACCCGTTTTCAAGATGAGCGACTTTTAACCTAAATCCAAATCAACTATTTTTTTATTTATTTTATTTATTTACAGTATAAAATACAAGTTTTTAAATGTCTGCATACAAAATGTAGCATAACAGATGATATTTTACAAAGTTGTTAAACCATGACATTTGTTTCAAAAATTATTATTTCAAATTATTTTTTCTAAACTAATTTTAAATATATTCTGGTTTTACTTTCAGTTTGGCCAAACGTTGATCTGTTTTCATTTATATTTTCATTAGTCATACTATATCATTTATAAATACTTTATTTCCACATTATTGTAAAATATAGTACAGAAAATATTTAAAAACTTCACTATATTCTCTTTATTTTCTTCTTTTTCTCTTATTATTAAATAAAACTCTATGTTTGAAAGTTTTCACTTTTGAATGAATTATCTGAAAACATTAATAATAATTCCTGTAGTAAAAATATTAATAACAGAAAATTATTTAAAAATTTTTAAAACTAAAATTATTATATTCTAACTTTACATTTTAATGCAATGGTTTGATGATAAACCTCAAAATGTTAAAGATTTCTTGAAAAATACTGCTCAAAGATTGCATGCTTTATCACGTTAATTATGAAGAAACAAGATACTAAACATATAATACATCTATTTTCCATTATTGAAAATTTTATACTTCATAAAATAATTATGTCTGAAAATTAAAATGTCCAAAAATTTTTAAAACATTTCATAAAAATTACAAGTAAATGTCTTGGTTTAGAAAAAATATATATCTGCTTAATAACATGCAAATATTAATTTAACCTAGATCAAGGGTGGCCAACAGTTTTTGCCCCTGGGCCAAATTGGAAAGAACTTTTTTCACGGGTTGAACCAGAGGCTGCCCTAGCAAGATTTTGAGGTGGTGCAAGATCTCATTGTGGTGTCACCCCGTAGAGATTAAATTGTACATATAGATTGATCATAGGCCACATAAATCCATTCTGCGGGCCATATGTTGGCCATGCCTGACCTAGATACTAATCATTTCCTAAATTATATTAATTATTAATGCTAATTAATAATAAATTATTTAACAACTGACTTAAGAAGTGTTTAAGTGTGTAATTGATAACATTCTTGCATAGTAAATAAGAATTTTAAGTTTAAATGCTATTCTGAGTAATGTCTTTTTAAGATATTTTAAATTTGATTAAATTAATCAAGTGCATAAATATCTTTCAATAATTAAATTTAATAAGTTTTAGAAAAACAATGACTCTGAAAGAAATTCATAACTGTAACCATTAATATACACCACCCAATTATTTCTAGTTGAATGGTATACACATTGTTTCTAAATTGGTTATTAAATAATTTACTAGCCAAAGTTAGTAACAAGTGTAATTTGACAAATGATTATTCATAAAAACATTAAATAAATAGTAAAAAAGGTACAACATAATACAACTAATATTGCTTATAATTTAAAAGTTGATACTGATATTGAAAATATTGTTATAACTTATTATAATTGTTATAATTTTTATTATAAAAATAAAATATATAAATAAATTTTTGAGCAAGTTCAAATATTAATTTAGTTATCATCATCTAAGAATGGAGGTGTAGTACATCACTGAATTAATATGAGCTATGCAAAAATACTTCATGAATAGGTGATTAACCCTCTGCAACATTAATATAATCATTATAATTTAGCAAACTTTTGAGGTATTCATTCTTGAAACATTTCAATTTTAGCCTATAATATTCAATTTTATTAAATATTGCTTTTTCGTAATAAATAAATAATGAATTTAACTCTTCAAACTAATTTAATGTTCAAAAACTATTAAGTGACTAGAATTTTTTTTATAAATTCCTGAATAGACTGGTATTTAAACAGAGTTGCCAATCCATAGTATACATTTTACAATGATTATTAAAATGGAAAGATAATAATCTTAGTGAATTTGAAATAAAAGTATACTTTTCCTTTTACACAAAACAAATAATTTATATCAAGCTTTCATCATTTATGTATTAATTGCTAGTGACAGAGAGAAAAAAAATATATGTGAAGACACATGAACTCCAATTACCTTTTGCATAAATTATAATGGTTTAAAATTATATCTATAGTAAAAATAATCAGCTCTTTTTTCAGTGAACATCTACATTCTTATTTATATATAAAGTCTATAAGCACATTATGCAGTAAATTTATAATTCTAATCACTTTTTGATAGGTTATGACTATAAAATCTTAGTGTATTGAAATGTAAATTTACTTATTTCACAATGAAATTTTTTAATTTAAGTCTTCCCTAGAATTTATACTTTATACATATTCACCAACAAAAGTCTCTTGTAATTTCATTTTCTAATATTTTTAAATCAAGCTTTTTTAAAATAAAAAAAAAATTTGTATATATAATTTTCAAAGTTAATGAATATCAAAACTGTTTGAAATAATTTAGTTGCAATATATTAAAAATTATCAGAAAAAACTATTGATAATTTAGAACTATTCATATATTGTAAAGCTGAAGATCAAACATTATCTGAAGATTTTTTAATGAACATAAAAGTGATTGGTGTTATATTATATTAAATAGAAACTTCTCTCCAATGAGTTTATTGATAAGAATAGTAGTTTACCTATAGCATAAAGTAAATATATAGTATATAGTAAAAGTATAGTAGTTTACCTATTAGCACTTAAATATTTGATAATTAATAAGATCACAATAAATTTTAAATTATATAAATGAAGACCTTGAACAAGATCAACTTGATTGGTAAGTTATCACTCACTCCAGTAAAAAAATTCATTTGAATTAGAATTAATTCATGAATACCAGTTATAAAATTTAAAAGAAAACAAGATCATAGTAATGGATGACAAACTGAAAAAATTTTAAGTAAGTCTTCCTGATAATTTGATAAAGATATTGAGAATCTGAAATTTATATATGCAGAAGTGGAAATATAAGGAAAAGTAATAGAGTTCATACTATTAAATTTTTTTTACTGATTTTGAGAAATCTATTTACATTCTTTTGTCTTTTTATAATAAAATGTCAAATTTTTAGATAGTATAAAAATAATGGACTAGTATTCAGAAAAAATAATACTCATATTTTTGAATTTCTAACAAATTTTGAGTTTGTTCATTTTGTGCTCTTTTACATATGTATTTGCCATTTTTTGTAGAATCTTAATTTATTTTACAACAAACTGACTACAATGTACTATAAAAATGAGACTTTTGCTTTAGAGGAGAGAAAAATGAATAAATTCTGTGCATCTGTTTTCCAAGGATAGCACAAAATTGGCATTTCTATACTTGTTAAGGGAGGTCAGAAGCTCTTCCAAACTTGTTTTTGGCTTTCTTTACTAGCCACATTCAAGTTACATAGAATATCAAATATGTATTCAATATTCTATAAAACCTGATTATAGTTTTATCATAAAGTTGAAAACGTTCATTTTAATTAATAAAAATATTTCAATAATAATAAAATTCTATAATTTAATAAGATAAAATTAGAATTTCAGACTGAATAGCAATCAACTAATGCAATTTTTTCTAATTTACCTACTTGATATGAGACTGATTGTTTTAATAAATATTATTGATTTAGTTTTTTAAATTTCCAAGAAATTTGAAGATAAAACAAGGCTCCAAGCTCTTATAATTTATGAAGCTAATTTATCTGTATTTAAAGATACTACTAATGGATCATTTTAAGATGGAATTTTGTAAGGAGTGACTCTTTCTATTACCATACAGTCAACATCAGTTTATCAAATGAGAAATGAATGCAAAAGTTTCTTCTTTGTTTTTCTTTTTTATTGCTAAGAAGAATTTCAATAGTGATGTAAAGTAATTTTTTTTTAAATCTGATCTAATCTTTAATTTAAAAAATACCATTTTAAGCATATGAAAATTTAAATATGGTACTACAAAAACATTCATATCTATACAAAAAAGCTAAACTAAGTATATTATTACACTTAAGAATAAAAATTTGCATGTTTTATATTTTTTATTTAACAATGTATGAAAAATTAATTATCAGTTTTAGATAAAAATTATCTGATCATCTTCATCAAAGCCTATTAAAAATAAATCCTAGATTAATTCATATCTTACAGTTAACTACATTGTAAGTCTTTAAGTAGAGTAAGAATTACTGAACAAAAGTGATTTTTAAAAATATTAAAATTTGTTTGTTTTGAAATAAAACTTACATTTAGCATTTTAGGTCTCATTTCTTTCCACCATGATGAAATTTCTTCATCTGTTTCTGTTCTCTTAAAAAAGTTTACTCCTTCTAAAAATATTTTATAAATAATTTTAAAAAACAATTACAGCAAGAAATAAACATATCTATTAAAATTTGTTGATAATGAAAATCTATATTTTAACTACATAAAAAGTAAAAATATTAATAAGTTTAAAATGATTTTATACTTTTTGAGTATTCATTATTTTTTATTTATTTCATAATCATCAGAGTAAAGGGTTCATTTTATATTGTGGTGGTAATTCCATAATTTTACAGAAAATTTATTTTTTTGAATTACAGTAGAGCATCATTTATCTGAATCAATTGGGGACTGGGGTAGTTCAGATAACTTATTTTTCGAATAACCGATTATGTACGAAAAAATATATTAACCTATCCCATGTTGAAATGTTTCTCCGTTGCGTGTCGCTTCGTGTTGAATTTTTGTCAATGTTAAGCCTAACGTAAACTTTTTAAAATAATAATCTTGGCTGTTGTAGCATTAAAAATTATTTCTTTATTTTGTACAAACAAAATAAATACATTGAAAAATAAAAAACAAAAAAATTATATTTTGGAAGTTAATCTAGTATCAAAAACANTAGATGTTCTCGAAAAAAGATAAATACATTGAAAAATAAAAAACAAAAAAATTATATTTTGGAAGTTAATCTAGTATCAAAAACATTCAATTCAGCATGACACAGTCCAACTGGAATGCTTTTGGTTAACTGACATTTTGGTTGATTGGCTTTCAGATAAACGACACGCTACTGTATTTCAAATTTTTTCATTATTAGGCTATTTTCTATTAATAATTACATTATGTTTGTCACTATTATAGCTTTATTAAAGAAGCTACAAAAGGTATCAACATTACTATAATAAAAATATATTTAAAATTGGTAGATAATATTTAACATGTTGTATTTAACAAAAAGAAAACTTTTGCCTATAACAATTTAACATATTTATGTATTTTGTATATATTCTGTATATATGTTCTAAATGTAAATTCCTGAATATCATAATGATAACAATGAAAAAAACTGAAATAAAAAAATCTCTCTTGCCTTTCACCTCTTTAGGAAAAGAAGAGACAATTCTCAATAAATCAAAGTTTATTGATTTATTAGAGAAAGCAAGGAAAAATAAAGCTTTGTATGGATACCACAGAACTTGATACATAGCTCATAGAAGCCAAAACCAACTGCAACATTTTGCATCACTTTGAACATTCTCTAATAATAACTAGCTATGAATGCCTGATATTGCTTGACTTTCGAGGGGATAGGAATCAGTGAGGTTGGGTTGGGATAGGGTGATAAAAACAATGGTCTTAGAAACTAAAATGTACAGTACATTTATTGACCCGGGTGTTTACAATAATGAAACTGAAAAAAACAAAAAATTGCTCTGACTAAAGTTGAGTGTGAGTGGACTTTAGAGACTGTAAGAGTTGGGTTCACCACAGTATTTTTTCTATGGTGTCAAAGAATATTCATGCCAAATTTGGTGAGGATATGTTGAATAGTATAGAACCCTTTGCTATCTGGATTGAAGAATGGCCATATAAGCATACAATGACTGAAAACTGGTTCTGGTAGATAAATATCAACTTTACTGAGACCCTGTCCTTGATTTTCAATCAAACATCAAACAAACATTTCACATATTTGAAGATGATAACCAAACTTCATATATATCTAAATATAATTTTAATTATATACAAAGAATATGGTTCGTTGTCATGGTGAATGCCAGGATGATGGAATATTGAAGTCGTTTAATTTTAAAAGGAAAAATGATATTGCTTGGAGATAATGGTATCTGAGGATGCATGTAAATTGTTTTATGGTGTACGGCCACTAGAATCTCAACATTAATTAATTGTGTAGTTAAACATACCACCATTGTTCCATTAATCAAACCTTGTTCACTGTCAAGGTTCCTGATAAGCATAACTACAGCCCTGATCTTTAATGTTTAATTAAGCTATATGGTAGAAGTCCAACCACCCCTACAGCCCACTGCCTCTTAACTTATTATGTATGTTTGTTAGGTAAAAGGTTCTATATCATTCAATGTATCTGCACTAAATTTGACATAAATGCTCTTCAAAACCCTAGAAAAAATACTGTGGGGCCTCACCCTTCAAACACCTATGAACACCTATATAACTTTAGTCCAAGCAATTTTTTTTATTTTGCAGTTTCATTATTGTAAATACTCATGTCAATAAATGTACATTTTTGTTATTGATACTAAGACCATTGTTTCTATCACTCTTCCCAATCCCCCATCTCCTTAAAAGTCTGAGCAATGCCTGGCACATGCAGCTAGTTGCCTTCTTTTCATTTCCTAAATTGCAAGTTTATTCAAGATAACATCCAATTAACTTGTTTATAATGGTCAAAATAAAGGTCAACAATGTTTAATAAAGACAACATTTAATGTTAAATCTATGAAAAAAATAAAACTTTATTTTATTTAAATTTATTAATGTTAAAATAATGCAAAAAAAATAAAAAACAGAAACAGTTAAAAACATTAAAATCACTAGGTGGCATGTGAGCTCCTGAGATGTTTTGTCATAGACTTAACATTGTACCTTTGCCACTCCACCATGTATGAACCATTGCATCTTTCTCAAATCTCTCTTTGTAATTTGATACTTGAACTATATTTTTAGCTCCAGCCATTTACTCAAACTAAATGAGACAAACTAAACTCTCCTTCAATTAATATATAGATAATTAACTTTATTAAATTTTATTATTTATTAAACTTTATTTATATATACCATATAAATCTAGAAAAAAGTTCTGAATAACTATCTGAGGTAAATCAAATCAACATTTCAGTGGTTTAATAAGAGGTTATTTACATGCACAAAAATATCAGCAATTTATTTAATAAAAGAATTTTAAATTTCTAACTTTTACCTTGAAGTCTTGGATCATCATCTGATAAAAAGAATTTATTTTCTACATTCTCAAAATTTTGTTTTGGTAAATCTTGTGAAGACTGTTCTACTCTAATATAAATATTTAAATTAATTCATAATATACATAATAAATATAATTTTAATTATATACAAAGAATATGGTTCGTTGTCATGGTGAATGCCAGGATGATGGAATATTGAAGTCGTTTAATTTTAAAAGGAAAAATGATATTGCTTGGAGATAATGGTATCTGAGGAAGCATGTAAATTGTTTTATGGTGTACGGCCACTAGAATCTCAACATTAATTAATTGTGTAGTTAAACATACCACCATTGTTCCATTAATCAAACCTTGTTCACTGTCAAGGTTCCTGATAAGCATAACTACAGCCCTGATCTTTAATGTTTAATTAAGCTATATGGTAGAAGTCCAACCACCCCTACAGCCCACTGCCTCTTAACTTATTATGTATGTTTGTTAGGTAAAAGGTTCTATATCATTCAATGTATCTGCACTAAATTTGACATAAATGCTCTTCAAAACCCTAGAAAAAATACTGTGGGGCCTCACCCTTCAAACACCTATGAACACCTATATAACTTTAGTCCAAGCAATTTTTTTTATTTTGCAGTTTCATTATTGTAAATACTCATGTCAATAAATGTACATTTTTGTTATTGATACTAAGACCATTGTTTCTATCACTCTTCCCAATCCCCCATCTCCTTAAAAGTCTGAGCAATGCCTGGCACATGCAGCTAGTTGCCTTCTTTTCATTTCCTAAATTGCAAGTTTATTCAAGATAACATCCAATTAACTTGTTTATAATGGTCAAAATAAAGGTCAACAATGTTTAATAAAGACAACATTTAATGTTAAATCTATGAAAAAATAAAACTTTATTTTATTTAAATTTATTAATGTTAAAATAATGCAAAAAAAATAAAAAACAGAAACAGTTAAAAACATTAAAATCACTAGGTGGCATGTGAGCTCCTGAGATGTTTTGTCATAGACTTAACATTGTACCTTTGCCACTCCACCATGTATGAACCATTGCATCTTTCTCAAATCTCTCTTTGTAATTTGATACTTGAACTATATTTTTAGCTCCAGCCATTTACTCAAACTAAATGAGACAAACTAAACTCTCCTTCAATTAATATATAGATAATTAACTTTATTAAATTTTATTATTTATTAAACTTTATTTATATATACCATATAAATCTAGAAAAAAGTTCTGAATAACTATCTGAGGTAAATCAAATCAACATTTCAGTGGTTTAATAAGAAGTTATTTACATGCACAAAAATATCAGCAATTTATTTAATAAAAGAATTTTAAATTTCTAACTTTTACCTTGAAGTCTTGGATCATCATCTGATAAAAAGAATTTATTTTCTACATTCTCAAAATTTTGTTTTGGTAAATCTTGTGAAGACTGTTCTACTCTAATATAAATATTTAAATTAATTTAATTTTAATAAAGTCTTTTAAAATATTATTAAAATCAAAAGTATATTACTGTTGAGTTGTTTCATCTTCATCACTGCTATCATATTTAAAAACATTCTTTTGTAAATATAAAGTTTTCTTTGCTTTGACAAGTGGTTCGGTATGATAATTGTCGTCATCATCATCATCATCATCATCTTTCTCATATAAATCTGCTAAAAATAAAATTTACACAATATTGCAATTTTTAAAAAGACCTTAATAACTTATGTTACATTTTAATAAAATTAGAAATTTTACCTTTAAGAAAAAATTTAAATTTTAATATGTATTAATTATGGACACTCACTAGCTAACTATGTAGTTACTTTGTTTTTATAAAAGTAGTTGAAACTACTAGTTAACTATACTGAGAATAGCTAACTGCATAGTCTAATTACATTAGTAGTTAACTATTGCTCATCTCTAGAAAGTATAGATGCAGAAAAAATTGCTTAAACACATTTTTTTTTTGTTCCATTTGGTTTTATTTTTTATATATTTTGTTTTCTGTGATTTGTTCAATATTGTTTAAACTGTTTTTAATTTTTTTTTTCATTCCAGAAATTTTGAAATTAAAATTAATATTAGATATTGAAAATGGAGTGGCATAGAAAACAAATAATATTGCCATGAAAAAATAAATAACATATTTTACACAACCAAACAGTTTAATAAGCTATTAGAATGGCAAAACAATTTAAAATAAAATAAATACTTATAGCTAACTGCATAGTCTAATTACATTAGTAGTTAACTATTGCTCATCTCTAGAAAGATTGCCTCCCAAAAACTTCAAAAAAATGCCTGGTGATAGGAAATTAATGCTAATATTATTCTTAAACTAGCAAGAGTCATTGCTTCTCAATTTCATAAAGACTGGTACCACTATTAATACTATATTCTACTACAAAACATGTGAATTGTGGACCTCCATAAAGTGAAAAAGGTTAGACTTGCTGTCAAAAAGAGTGATTTTTCTTTTACAACAATGTAAGGCCTCACACCACCAATATTGTTCATGGTACTCTGCAAAAGATGAGATGGAAAACTTTCCAATAGCCTCCTTACAGTCAGGGTCCATACAAGTAATTCCGTCTTTGATTTCCTGACATTCCCTGACCAATTATGACATTATTCTCTGACTTATTAATGTCTCTGCATTTCCCCTTTCCATTATGTAATATTTGACTAAGTCTATTTAAGCCAATTTTGTACACAATTATATAATTTTTTTATTAAAAACACTTTATTCACTTACAAAAAGTGAAAAACTTTGCGTAAAATCGATTATGTAATTAGCTACATTATTTCTATGCCATATAAATAATTTCACAATTTAATTTAAATTAATTCCTAAATTTTATTTAAATAAGAAACAGACTCACATTGCATCGTAAAATCAAATTTTCTTAAAGCAAGGAGATGGAAATTCAAAATAACTTACACAGAAGAAATCACACACTCTGCAAGAGGGAGAAATAGTTTATTGCATGCTATTTTTGGTCCAACACAAACCTATTCATGGTCATTACATATCTTCCCATCTCTCCCTGAAACATAAGCGGCTGAGTTTTGGTGAAAATGCAGATCATTGTTGATATTTTTGACTACCCATCTTTAACTCTATGGAGATACTTTGATATACNAAAAAAATAAAAAACAGAAACAGTTAAAAACATTAAAATCACTAGGTGGCATGTGAGCTCCTGAGATGTTTTGTCATAGACTTAACATTGTACCTTTGCCACTCCACCATGTATGAACCATTGCATCTTTCTCAAATCTCTCTTTGTAATTTGATACTTGAACTATATTTTTAGCTCCAGCCATTTACTCAAACTAAATGAGACAAACTAAACTCTCCTTCAATTAATATATAGATAATTAACTTTATTAAATTTTATTATTTATTAAACTTTATTTATATATACCATATAAATCTAGAAAAAAGTTCTGAATAACTATCTGAGGTAAATCAAATCAACATTTCAGTGGTTTAATAAGAGGTTATTTACATGCACAAAAATATCAGCAATTTATTTAATAAAAGAATTTTAAATTTCTAACTTTTACCTTGAAGTCTTGGATCATCATCTGATAAAAAGAATTTATTTTCTACATTCTCAAAATTTTGTTTTGGTAAATCTTGTGAAGACTGTTCTACTCTAATATAAATATTTAAATTAATTTAATTTTAATAAAGTCTTTTAAAATATTATTAAAATCAAAAGTATATTACTGTTGAGTTGTTTCATCTTCATCACTGCTATCATATTTAAAAACATTCTTTTGTAAATATAAAGTTTTCTTTGCTTTGACAAGTGGTTCGGTATGATAATTGTCGTCATCATCATCATCATCATCATCTTTCTCATATAAATCTGCTAAAAATAAAATTTACACAATATTGCAATTTTTAAAAAGACCTTAATAACTTATGTTACATTTTAATAAAATTAGAAATTTTACCTTTAAGAAAAAATTTAAATTTTAATATGTATTAATTATGGACACTCACTAGCTAACTATGTAGTTACTTTGTTTTTATAAAAGTAGTTGAAACTACTAGTTAACTATACTGAGAATAGCTAACTGCATAGTCTAATTACATTAGTAGTTAACTATTGCTCATCTCTAGAAAGTATAGATGCAGAAAAAATTGCTTAAACACATTTTTTTTTTGTTCCATTTGGTTTTATTTTTTATATATTTTGTTTTCTGTGATTTGTTCAATATTGTTTAAACTGTTTTTAATTTTTTTTTTCATTCCAGAAATTTTGAAATTAAAATTAATATTAGATATTGAAAATGGAGTGGCATAGAAAACAAATAATATTGCCATGAAAAAATAAATAACATATTTTACACAACCAAACAGTTTAATAAGCTATTAGAATGGCAAAACAATTTAAAATAAAATAAATACTTATAGCTAACTGCATAGTCTAATTACATTAGTAGTTAACTATTGCTCATCTCTAGAAAGATTGCCTCCCAAAAACTTCAAAAAAATGCCTGGTGATAGGAAATTAATGCTAATATTATTCTTAAACTAGCAAGAGTCATTGCTTCTCAATTTCATAAAGACTGGTACCACTATTAATACTATATTCTACTACAAAACATGTGAATTGTGGACCTCCATAAAGTGAAAAAGGTTAGACTTGCTGTCAAAAAGAGTGATTTTTCTTTTACAACAATGTAAGGCCTCACACCACCAATATTGTTCATGGTACTCTGCAAAAGATGAGATGGAAAACTTTCCAATAGCCTCCTTATAGTCAGGGTCCATACAAGTAATTCCGTCTTTGATTTCCTGACATTCCCTGACCAATTATGACATTATTCTCTGACTTATTAATGTCTCTGCATTTCCCCTTTCCATTATGTAATATTTGACTAAGTCTATTTAAGCCAATTTTGTACACAATTATATAATTTTTTTATTAAAAACACTTTATTCACTTACAAAAAGTGAAAAACTTTGCGTAAAATCGATTATGTAATTAGCTACATTATTTCTATGCCATATAAATAATTTCACAATTTAATTTAAATTAATTCCTAAATTTTATTTAAATAAGAAACAGACTCACATTGCATCGTAAAATCAAATTTTCTTAAAGCAAGGAGATGGAAATTCAAAATAACTTACACAGAAGAAATCACACACTCTGCAAGAGGGAGAAATAGTTTATTGCATGCTATTTTTGGTCCAACACAAACCTATTCATGGTCATTACATATCTTCCCATCTCTCCCTGAAACATAAGCGGCTGAGTTTTGGTGAAAATGCAGATCATTGTTGATATTTTTGACTACCCATCTTTAACTCTATGGAGATACTTTGATATACTTCGAAATTCCACGGGGCATCTGAAGACTAAAATTTGCAGTTTGAGATAAAACATATCACAGATCATCAATCCATCAAAATTGGCAGGGTTATTATCTCCACATACTGCATGTGGCCAGTAGGAAAGAATACAATGAATAAAAATACATAAATTGCACGAGGTCTGCCACATGGTTCCAAAATGTCCTGTACACAACATCATTAAGCCGACTGACAGTTCTTTGCCTCCCCAATGACATCAACTGACTACAAAGAATTAACCAGTTGCACAGGTCAAAAAAATTGTAAGGGTTGTGTAGGGGACACAATTGTAATCATTTAAGACATGAATCCATCTTTGTGTTATTAGAGGGAGGATAAGATGTAAAGGAACAAAGTCTTGGTGGTTATCACATTCCAAGTCAATTACTATCGGTTCATGCAGTAGTGCACTCAAAGTATTTGCATTGGAGTTGACATGCTGTGTTTTCTTACACTCTCCATACAATCTGCATCATTTGGCATTAGTTATTTTGGGTTTTTCTGGTTCCTTTTCAATCTTTCTTTCCAAGGATATATGTTTCTTACATTTCTGTTCATACTTCCTTTGCAACTTCTTCAACATTATGAAAATTTTCTTTGATTCACACAGCTATTGACTTATAACTTTACAAATTTTATTTTATTGGTTATCATTGCTAAATAATATTGTAGATCCTGTCGTTATGTACATATCGACACCAATTTCGATGTCCTATCTCTTCGCCATCCAATGTTTCACTGC